ATACACCATGAAAAGCCATTGGCTTTAACTTTTTTCAGATATTCACAAAGCATTTTCAGTTTTTGTACCTTTAATATATTCCCTCACATTAGCTTTCTAGGGTTGCTATAGCAAATTATCAGACTGCGTAGCTTAAAACCACAAACAAGCCAGGAGTGTTGGCACAGACTGTGACCCCAGCAGTTGGCAGGCTGAGCCAGGCTGGGCTACATAGTGAGTTCGAGGCCAGCCTGACAGCACTAAAGTAAGACCCTGTCTCACACAACAAACCGAGAAATGCAGACATTTATTCTTTCCTAGTTCTAGAGGCCAGAGTTCAGATCAAGGTGTGTGTGGGCCCTGATCCCTGCAGGGTGGTGAGGGAGCGGCCGTCTTTGCCTCATCCCGCTTTGGGTGACATCTAACAATCCCGGTTGTGCTGTACAGATCGTAACACACTGTCTGCCTCAGTCTTCCTGGCACAGTCCCTTCCACTTTCATTGGCACTGTGCTTCCCTGTGCCTCTGAGGATACCCAGCCAGTGGACCAGGGCCTGCCCTGTTTTAACTTGATTAATGTGCAAAGAGCCAATCACGGAATACAGTCACACTCCTGGGTCAGAGGTATATTTTTGGTGACTCAAACAGTGTTTTGGGGGAGCACGGTCAGCCCATACTCCCTGCTAGCAGATTGACCCAGTCCCCTTCTGTATAGGTCAGGCTTCTGAACAGATGCATATAAAATCAAGTTATTTTATGCAAGCTTTTCTTTTTCCCTCGGGTTAGTAACTCATTTTCCCTGTGGCTTCAAAAACTATATTGAAGTATCTTGCTGGAATAACACCCAACACTGACTTTCTGGTTTTGTTACGTAAGAGTCTTGTATAGGAAGAAAATGTGTCCTAGTTACTCGGGAAAGTACTCAGAGTAGACGGAAGGGCAGGAGTTAAGAGGGCTGCAAGCCCGTGACTGTTTGCAGCCCTTTATGACTTGGGTGTGAACTGGCCACTGAGCTGATAACACCAGGGGAGGCTGGCTTGGACAGGCAGGCCTCTGGACGGCCATGCAGAGCCAGATGGAGCTGGAGCACAGTCTGTAAGACACAGCAGTGGCTGCAGAAAGAACATGGACGTGGTGAGCTGCGTGTTCCTGCAGTGTGTCTGCGGGCCACCCCTGCCCACGGCTGAGCCGGAGGTAGGTGTTTATTGGTGTAGACGTCAGTAGTTTCAGGAATAATCACCAACTACACAGCCTGAAATAAACAGGGGCTGCGTTTCCGAAGTATGTGAATTTACTAAAAAAAAAAAAAACCCTTTTTTTAAAGCCAGACATGGTGGCACATGCCCATAATCCCAGCAGCCTGGGAGACTGAGGCAGGAAGATGGCAAGTTCCAGCCTGGCTGGGGAACTTAGCAACTTAGTGAGACCCTGTTTCAAAGTTAAAAATGGACCAGTGGTGGAGCTCAGCACCAAAGGCCCTGAGTTTAAATTCTCTGGCTAAGACTGTAAACTTAAACCTCAGGATGTCCCCACCCTTCCCTCGGCGCGTTAGCTGCCAGTACAGTGGACATTTCACTGCAATCTTGCACATATTCGTGATCTACTTTCTGCGGTTCCGAGAACACTGGTGCTGCAGGCAGAGTGCTGTGTCTTAATGAGAGCTGTGTGCACACTGAAAGTCAGATTTTGGTTTTGTTCTTGACGTGTCCCCAGCGAACAGACAGGGGCTGCTCTGGGGTACAGTGCGTTGGAGGGCTCCCCTGGGTCCTTCACCTGAACTTCCTGGAGCGTTTCCTTATTCTTGGCATGAAAAACAGGCTGTCTTGCGTAAGTGCAAAAACAAACTGAATCTTCTCACCAGAAGGAAAAAAATAAATAGGTAAAACTACAAAAAAAACCCACTCACTGGTTTGTGAGTAGATGATGGCTCGGACTTGGTGGTACAGGCCACAGTAGAAATGGATGTGTTCCTACAGTTTACTTAGGCTGTCTGTCTCATTTGTTCTGGTAGTTTATGTCAGCCATTCACAATAATCTGTTCTTTGTGTGTAATTCAGAAAATAATCGTAACTTTTCTTGGTTTCTCCTATTTTTCCATCGTGGCAATGCTGGGGGAAAAGTGATACATTTTAGGATTAGGTCTTGGAGGCCTGTGAATTAATAGAAGACGGGGGTTGTAGCTCAGTGGTAGAAACTTTGCCTAATATGTGCAAGACCCTAGGTTAAGTCCTCAAAGCCATTAAACAAGCAAACAAAAATGGCAGATTAGCAAAGGAAAGATGTGTGCATATGCAGGTGGTAGGTGTGCAGGAGTTTACAGAATCGTGACCCTGTAGGTGACTAGAGTTTGGATTTTGTTGGTCATCTTAATAGGCTAGAGACAGGACCGGGAAGTTAGGGGGGAAACCAGTACCTGAGGAGAGATAAGGGCTCTCCAGAGAGCCACGGGAGATAAGACAGTTTTGTGTCAGTGGCTACCGGGGTGTGAGTTCTCCTTTGGCTGCAGGCAGGAAGCTCCCAGGAGGAGATTTATGACAGCTGAGCTTTTGGGGAGCTCTGCTTTTAGACACTTTAGAGTTGGGGTGGGGGAGCCCATTCTCAAATGCCTTAGGCTCAGCATAATTCTTCTACTACAGCAGTATCATCGAAGGCAGGAAAGTGGTGTGAGCCTGTGACCCCAGCACGCTGGGAGGTTGAGGCAGGAGGGTTGCAAATTTAAGCCTGACTTGGGCAACTCTGCAACTGGTTCAAAAAATAGAGAAATTAAGGTGGGGACCAATAGTATCATCTGGACTCCTGCTGTGGTGAAGGCAGCATTCCAGGGAGTAAAATCAACACAGGCCATTGCTGGAACCTGTGGGAGACAGCGGAAGACCTGACCAGATGTGCCCGCCTGTGGGTGCCTCTGCTGGCATTCACTGGTGGTGCCCCTGGCCATGTGGCTTCCCTTCTTTGTCTCCATCTGATTGGAAAATCGAGGAGGCTGGAGTGGAGATAGAATGTCCATGGTCCCTCCCTGTGTCCAGGCTCTTGGCCACATCCGCCGTGGTGTGTGCAAGGCAGGTACTCTGCCCCAAGCCACACATTCCTGGAGGAGACATTTAGTCAGGGTGACCTGAGTGCACCCTTCCGCTCTACTCCAGCCCCGGCCAGCCTGGGGTAGTGAGGGGTTGCCAGGCTGTGTCATACGCTGCTTTCTGGCACGCATACCTTTGCCTGCCTTGTCCCTCCTGTGCTGTGGCCTGTGGCCCTTTTGTGGTAGAGGCCCTTTTCCATCCTCATCACTGTCCGGGAAGTTTGTATTTGTAATCCCGTTGAAACATTATTGGAATCCTGGCGAGTTAATTCCAATTTACCACCTCCAGCAAGAATAAAGACACTGAGACAATTTTACAGGTAAGGACAGCCAAGGGGTCCTGAGTCCAGTCCAGGTGAGGGTTTACGGAACAAAGGCTGCAACCCAGGGCCTGACCTGGATTTTATTATTCGTGAAAGAGGGATGGCTCAAGATGAATGACTGCGAGTATGCGGGAATTACGTGAGTGCTGGGAGCTGGGCTGCTTAGGAGGCAGAAGCACCTCTGCAGTGTGCAGGGAGGGATATGCAGAAACACCGATCTGCATAAACAATCAAGGAAGCATTTAATGTTTAGGGGGCTGTTGCTTCAGTTTCTGATGTATAAACTTTTGTGCCCCGGGACGTCATAGCCTCGAGACTTGAACTCAGCTGACAATCTTGGAGCTGTTGGCTCTGCCGTCCTGCTGGGCTCAACCTTTTAGAGGGAGACACTGACATGGGGAAATAATCAACTGTTGGCTGGCTTTAAAGTTACGCGTCAGCACCTCAGCCAACTCTGTTTACACTGCTTAGACCAGTTAAAGGGAAGAGGAACCAGCTTACCCAGCTCTGCACATGGAGACATGGCCAGATTTAGCCAAAGGAGAGCCGTCCAGGCAGTCTCCATATTTTGTTTTTATTTTAAAGAACACATGGAGATGGAAGGAGTGTGGGCATGTGGCCAAGCTCTGACACAGCCCTCCTTTGTGGCCAGACTCTGAAGGACCTGCTGGAGCAGCTAGCTTCTGCCCATCTACAGAGTGACAGCTCACTGCTGCCAGTGAGGCCTCAGCGCTCTCGCACTGAGAGCAGTTGCAGAAGCGATGGGAGAGGTGCGATCTGCCTGCAGTTGCAGGGCTAGCTGGAGGTCCCCCGGGAGTGAGTGACCCAGTCTGCCCGATTCTAAGCTCCTGTCATCCTAGCCCACTGTGTGGCCTCTGAAAGAATCATTTGAAACACCGGGTGGGCTTGGGTGACACAGCCCTTGCCCTGCGCGTGCTGTGCCCTCAGTGCCCGCCCCAGCAGCTCCCCACAGCAGAAAGGATCCTGCCTCACTGAGAGTCACAGAATCTGAGCCATGAGCTGGGTCTGCTCTGAAATCAGATTCAGAAAGCATAGCTGGGATTTGGCAAAGCCCACACATCTAGTCGGTAGCCTCACCTAGTTCTCTGGCTCCCAGTTCTACAAGGCCCTTAGCTTGAGTCCCACCAGCTCTGGACTCAATCATCAGCGCCTCCTGTTATTAAATAGCAAACATGGTTGACAGAGGGTGCCACCGGCTAGCCCTGGCTCGTGGCATGCGCTTCTGTGGCCCTGTAGCTCCCTGTACTGTGGTGTCCACCACAGTTTAGAGTTCATTTTGCCAGCTTGACAGTGGTGCTGGTTTTCTTCATCTCTTTCCTAGCTCATCACTGATGGGCAGACATCACTACTTAAACTACGGTTTCCAGTCAGCCTGGAAAGAAAGATGGATTTGGTTCTTTAACCCATGCAGCAGTTACATCTTCATTGTCAATTGCACAAATAATTGTTTTAGGTAAAGGAATAAATCGAGAGAGTCTGAAAAAAATTAGAAAACATAAAAAGAGAGCCCAAGGTAAGGTAAGGGGAATGGGGCCAGGCGTCCATTCTTCATTCCCTGCTGCCTGCGTCTTGAAGCTCACCTAACCTGTTCGCTTTGGAAAGGTTGTGACTGGTGAACCCTGGAGGCCGGGCTCATCCCAGGAAGAGGAGAGGACTGATGCAGCCAGAATCTCCAGGAGGAAATGGAGCTCAGGGAGGAGGATCAGACCACGGCCGCTGTCCGACTACAGCCAGCTGGCCAGCCGAAGCTCGTCCATTCCTGAAGACACTGTCGCTGCGCATCCGCAGAGCGAGGACTACATGGATGGGCCACCTCCAGCACACGTGGCCTCCATCGGGCCTGCAGACCAGGCCTCAGCAGGCTGCCCTCGAGGAGGCCGGAAAAGACGCCCCATTTCTGTGATCGGAGGGGTCAGCTTGTATGGCAGCACCCAGGCAGAGGAGATGGCGAGCCTTCTGACCCAAGTAAGATCTGTGCACCTCCGACACTGCCTGGCCAGCTCCCTGGCCGCTGTCCTCCTGCTCAGACTAAACTGGAAGCTGCTTTCCTCTAACACTCCAAGATGACCTGTCCACTCACAGCCTTTTCTTCCTGACCAAAAACATGCATGAACTCGAAACTAACCTTCTAAAATCTGGACGCCTTCTCACTAATCTTTCTTTCCTGGCATCTCAGATTAGACATGAAACAAGTTGGTCCTTATTTCTGAAAAACTTGCAATTTTTTCCAGGAAAAAGTAGCAGGACATATTTAGTGAGCATCCTGAGACAAGTGAGTCTTTAAACACAAAGTGTTTCACTGTTAAAATGTAAAGATAAGAAAACAAAAAAGAAATGGGAGGGCTGGGAGGTAGCCCTGTGGTATAATGCACTGCCCTGCATTCCATTCCCAGCACTGAAAATAAAAAGAAAACAGTAAGGGAAAAAGTGATTCCCTGTCACCGAAGAAAATCTGTTCATTGTCCTTTATATCATGCCTGGGATCCAAGGCAGAGCCTGGCATGTGCTAAGCCATCCCTGTGTCCCCAGCTCTTCTCTCTGTCTCTATCTCTGTCTCTCTGTCTCTCTCTCTCTGTCTCTTTGGGTTGCAGTCCTGCAGCTGGTTTGATAATAAACATTTTCTATTGGTCCCTTAGTATATTTTAAATATTTATCAAGTGCCCAGGGAGCACTCTTGGCCACATTCTGGAGAAGTTCATACTTTTTGTCAAGGCCAAAACTGCAACTGTGGTCAGATATTCACAGAGCACTCTGTGAGAGGTACATATGCCCAGCTCCATTTTTAAAAACTTGCTAGTGGTGTCTTAACCTATGAAAATCTATTAAAAGGGGAATTTTATGTTAGTCTTGGATGGCGTGTTGGCAGTCTCCCTAAAAGCCCAGCCCAATGCCTGTGTGTAAGAAGCACTCCAAACTTCTTGCTGAACGCAATTGTGTTAAGTTCAATTCTTAAAAACAAAGTTAAAGAATAATACAGATCTTTAAGCTTCTGCTGCTTAAGATGCTCAGCCTGATAGGAAATAATTCTGAACTAAAGCAAACTATACCCTACTTTAAGCTGGAAAGCAATATATGGAATATCTAGAGCACTTGGAAAAGATTTCACTTCAGAGCATCAGAAAGAAGTGCAGTGAAATAGCTTCCTGCCCTTAGGAAGTAGTTTAACTTTGGGAGTCAAGTCTAGAAAGCATTTGCTAAACCCTAAGGAAAGCAAGAAGCACGCAGATCGCTGATGTGTGGTGATGGACAATTGGAAGGGCATGACTCAGAATCCCAGAGAGACCAGGGCACATACGAGGAAAACCAACTCTTAATTGTTTTGCTAAATTTTTTGTGGCACTGGAGAAGAAGCCTAAGGCTTGCACGTGCTAGACCAGAGTGCCACCATGAGCCACATGTCCAGCCCCCCACACCGACTCTTGAACCTGGGACCTTTTCACTGAGCTACATCCTCAAAGGCCCCTTAAAATTTGTATTTTGAGATAGGGTCTTGCTAAGTCTCTCTGTTGATGGGGCAGACATGGTTTGAATTTATGATCCTCCTGCCTCAGCATCTCAGAATACAGGGCTTTAGGTGTGTACCACTACACGTGGCCCCAAAACTAACTCTTTGTAATGAAGTTCAGATGGGCCTGGTGCTGTACACTGGTGATTCCAGCTACTTGAGAGGCTAAAGCAGGAGGACTGCCAACTGCAGACTGGTCTAGTCAATTTTGTGGGCCCCGTCTCAAGGCAAAACAGAGAGCCAGAAGATGTAGCTCAGTGCTCCCTGGGTACAGTCTCCAGTGCTTCAAAGCAGCAGCAGCAGCAGCACACACCGAACTCCACCGCCCTGTTAGTTTCTTTAGATCCAGAAGCCTGTGTGGGGGTGGAGGCTCCCGGAGAGGGTCTGCAGGAGATAAGGCTGAGGAAGTACTGAACCGGGGCTGCAGTCTGTGCCTGCCTGGGGCCTGGGGCCTCTTCTGCTTCCTGTGGAGGCTGCTCCAGCCCAGCCTCCTGCCCCTGCAGCTGCGCGAGAACCCCATCCCCGCCGGAGTCTGCCTCTCTGCTCAGGGCTCTCCGCTGCCTCTCCACCTGGAAGTGAGATGGGGCTGCCAATGGCTGCTAGAATCTTACCTAACGCTTTACCTAACACATCCCGAGTGCCCTGCAGCCCGCAGCTCTCAGCAGGCTCGGGAAATGCCGGTTCACATCTGAAGGGCTGCGAGGTGAGAAGGCTCTGCAGCCTGCTGCTTGTGGGAGCTGCGACTTCCTGGCACCTCCTCACAGCTTTGTGCTTTCCTCCCACAGCCCAAAGCCAGGCCTCCTCTGCCCTCGCACCAAGTGCCACCCTACAAGGCCGTGTCGGCCCGGCTGCAGCCCTTCAGCTTCTCCCGGAGCACCCCCATCGGGCTGGACCGTGTGGGCCGGCGGCGGCAGATGCGAGCGTCCAATGGTGAGTGTGTCCCTCGGGACTGGCGGGGGCCGGGTGGCCACTGCTGACCCCAGCTGCCCAACTGGAACGGGGCCTGAGGTACCCAGGCAACGGGCACTTTCCCCTGCTCCCTGGTCCGCTGGCTCAGCGCAGCAGGAGGAAGTGTCATCTTTGTGGCTATGAGATACCCCCCCCCACTCTGAATCCATCAAGTTGCCCCACTATGGTGCCTGTGCGCCTGACTTTCTGGAAGGGACATTCCGGTGGGGCGAGGGCCTCAGACTACAGATCCCAGAGCCGGGCTCTGCAGAGCTGTGGGGATGAAGCCTGCTCCGGGCTCTCTTGGCCTGTGGTGGCCTCAGGCCTTCCGCGGCTGGTACGTGTGTCCCCAGCTATGCCTTCCTGCTAGTGGGGTACTGCCTGGTGTGTGTGCCCATCTTGGGGATTTCACATATAAATAGCCTGTTTCAGTGATGGTTAAGTTTTTAGGGTGTTTGGTGATACAGCCCACTATGGTACGCGTACCACAGGGTTTGCTACCATTGACTGCTTTTATCCCTTGTGTAACACCTTGTTTGTGTTTGTGTATTTATACAGACAGTGCCAGGGATTGAATCCAGGGCCTTGGTGCTGAACAGCAGCCCTCTTCCCTTTAGTTTGAGATGGGGGTTTGATAAGTTGTCCAGACTGGGCGGAAACTCGTGATCTGCCCTAGCCTCACAGAGGGCTGTGATCACAGATGTGCACCGCCATGCCCAGCTGGAAATTGAGGTTTTTGTTGGTGTGTGTGTTTAGGATTCTTTTGCTGAACGGCAACAGAGCTAGCTCTGGCTGGCTTCAGCAAAGGAGAATATGTTACAGGGTGTCCATGCTTCCGACGGATGGCTGGACACAATGGCCAGTGGGGCTGCTCCCAGATCGGAGGAGCCATCACTGGTATGTGGTGCAGGACTGCTGCCACACCTCTGTGGGAAGGTGTCGGTCCAGTCCCAGTGTGCCTGGCTGGCCCCCTTGCTTCTGTCCTTCAGCAGGTGTTAGGGTTCCTTGTTCAGCAAGGCTGAGGGCACAGAGGCATGGCAGTCCTGCTGGTGTGAGGGACAGGAGCAGCTCTGCTGTGGGATCACACACTCCTGCACACACACACTCACAGATGAGGGCCTGCCATAGACCAGGTAGTAGTGGTGAGCTGACCTTCGGTCACTTAACACCCTTGAGAGGAAAATAAATTATCAAGGATGTAGGGCTGTAAAGGAAATAATGCAGGCTAGGGGACCTCGTTTCTGGATGAGTGTCATTCACACGGTACCCTTATGCTAGGTGCCACAGGAAACCCTCTCCTTCCTTCCCTGGGGACCTCCAGGGGTTCCTCCAAACATGCGATGCTCCCTCCAGCTGGCCACACAGCGTTTCTGAGTGTTTCTGCCCCATAGCAACACCACCTGCAACACCACTGCAGCCTGCAGGGTGGAGGGAAAGGGCACACTGTGTAAATACTCAGGCCTGGCTCCGGGGAGGCACCTAGCAGGTTAGCCAGGCTCTAGATAGACTGTGCAGCGGGGTGTGAGGACCGAGCAGGAGACAGCGAGGCAGGGCCTGGAGGAGGAAGGATGCTGGGAATGTTGAGCCCTGGCAGAGCAGCAGGAGCTCAGTGTGTCCAAGACACAGCACAGGGGTTGATGAGACTGGAGCCTAGCCCCGGAACGGGGGACAGGACTGCAGTCAGGGAGCCAAGGCCGCACAGGGAGGTAGTGAAGAGTGCCTGGGAACAAGAGGGTTCTGGGTCTGTGCCCTGAGGAAGGGAGACTGGTGGGGAAGCTGTTGCCACGTCTGGATGAGCAGCCATGGTGGTAGTGAGCACGAGGCCACCCACGTTTCCTGGGGGTGCAGCTCCCCGGGATGGGGAGAAGCCACATCGAGTAGCCAGAGCAGCCAACACTCTCCCATGGGGCGCTGGGCGGGAAGAAGATGTTTTGTAAGGGCATCATGAGGCAATCAGAGAAGCCACTTCTGCGTTTGCCTGAAGTTTCCACTGTGGGCGGGAGGCAGCCAGCAACTTGGTCATGGGTCTAGAGCGTGTGCCCAGGCTGCCTCGTGGGCATGAAGCAGTCCCTGGGGAGGTCCAGGAGAGGCCACACTGAGGAAGCAGCACAGGCTGCCCTGCAGCAGTGACACACGACTGTCTCCTATTATGAAAAGGGTTTACTACTGTGACTGGCTTGCCACTGCTGGGTCTCTGCAGGAACCATCACGTTAACTGTGTTGGGGGGCACTTCCTGTGGTTTAGCCCGCTCTCAGCCCTGGCTCTGCCTCTGTGGCATTTGTAGTTGTGAGGATTTTCTGGTTTTTTTTTTTTTTTTTTTGCTTGCTTGCTCCCTTGTTTGTTTTTGATTTTGTGAGACAGGGTCTCAGTATGTAGCCTAGGCTGGCCTGGAGCAGGAGGCAATGCTCTGCCTCAGCCTCCAGAGTGCTGGAATTACAGGCACGAGTCACCCCACACCACACCATTTGATTTTGAAACATGGTTTTACTGTGTAGTTCAGGCTGGTCTTGAATTCACTGTACAACCCAGGCTGCCCTCAATCTGGAGATCCTCCTACCTGAGCCTCCTGATTTTTTGTTTTGCTTCGATTTAATGGACCCACTGAGCAAACCTTCAAAATGAAGATATTCAGTGATACCTGTACAGTAAAGTCTGCATGTTTACTTCTTTACACATTTATTTATGTGAGGCTGAGGATGGAACCTGGGACCCTGTGCATGCTAGACAGGTGCTCTGCCACTGAGCTATATTACAGACTAGAGAGAGACAGATAGTTCTCCTGTGGGAAGGAAATCAAGAGATGGGGTGGATTGGGGGAGGTCAAAAAAGGAATGCAGGTGTCTTGTGTACACACACCAGCTCCACACAAGGAATGCAAACAGTTTGTACTACAACATACTCTGATAAAAATTTTAAAATAATCTCTTTTGAGGTAATGATTCATGTGGGACATTTATCTTCACGTGCTTTGAGTGTCTGCAGATACAGCTGGTCATACCCCTGCCTCAAACCAGTGGTTATCAGTGTTACCCTTTCCACGTTGTTGCAAGCCAAGCTAAGTCTTTGCTGAGGCCAGACGAGTGGTACACAATTGTAATCCCAGTTCTCTGGGAAACTGAAGCAGCCAGATCTGAGAGTTCGATCCCAGCCTGGACAATTTAGTCACTTAGCAAAATCCTGTCTCAAAAAGAACAAAAAAAAAAAAAGGCTTTAGTATTAGATCACTGGGGCACGGACTTTAGGTAAGCAATGGAAGGTCCCCAGAGCCCTGGGGGAGGCAGGGAAGAAGACTTTAATAATCGGACAACTGCTCTAAGGTGACCTGGCTTCCACTTCCAGCTCTCTGAGTCCAGGTGTTGAGCAAGGGCTCTGGGTTTCACTGTCCTGCAGCTCCCCAGGTTGTCCTCGGCTGGCCTGGAGATGTCCTGTTCCGTAGACAAGTCAGTGCTTTAATCAGGTTCGCCCCCATTTTGTTCCTGGGGCCCAGAAATATGTGAGGCACAAGCAGCAGTCCTGTGAATCAAACCATTCTGATGACCGACCCAGCCCTGCTGCCCCAGAGGCTCAGTGCCCTATCCCCATCGAAGCCAGGAAAGGCCGGCAGCATGTTGCCTATAGAAGGTATCATCACCATCTTCTGCTTGGGGGCACAGAGCTGGCGTGGTGAGGCCCACAGGATAGACCTCCTCCAGCAGCTGTGTCCTCTCACTCCCAGGGGTTCAGCACGTATCCACCAAGGCCTAGCACAGCACCACAGTTTAATACAAACTGACTCTAAGGGCCTTGCTTGTGTTCATTCGTGTATGAACCTGGTCAGATGCCAGTACCAACAAACCAGCTCACTGTTAGATCACTGGGAAGGCCGAGGATGTGGCTCCAGGGTCAGTTGCTTACCTAGCATGTGTGGGACCTTGGGTGGAATCCCACCACTGAAAATGAGCGTCATCATCATCATCATCATCATTATTATTATTATTATTAAAGGCAAGTGGGGAACTTATTATAATGACCCAATACTTGGAGACATGAAAGAATTATTAAATTTGTTAGTTGGGATGATGACATACAACTAATTTTAGGTTGTTTATTCAAAATCTTTATTGAAATATTCTCTGCATAAATAAGAGATTAATTTCAGAATACTTCAGAAAAGTTGGGAAGAGATGGTTGAGACAAATTTGGTAAAATATATTTATCACATTACCTGTGTAAACTTTTCTATAGTAAAAATCTTGAAAGATGATAACAGCACAGAAAAAATAACAGTGCCTTCCTTCCTTCCTGGTCACAGGCTCTCAAAATCTGTAAGAAGTACCCAGGCAGAGGAAGTACCAGTGGCCATTCAGTCCCCAGCCCTACAAAAAGGGATGGAGGGAGGGAGGCCCCACAGCGACCCTTTCCTCAAAATACAGGAATGCAGCATTAGCTGTTAGATTTTCTTTTTTCAAGAAACTTTAAAGCCCTCTCATTTTTAAGGAAGTTCTTCCTGCCAAAATTTGCAGCACCTCCGTGTCTTTTTAGCAGTTGGCACTTTTGTTTTGCTCTATGTAATGAAACAGGCTTGTCTCCGAGGTTTCCATACCGTATACGTAGTGTGTGGGTGTGCGTGTGCATGAGTGTGTGTGTGTGTGTGTGTGTGTGTGTGTGTGTAGGAAGGTCACATGAACAGGCCAAGTGCTGTTTATCTGCTGCGAGGGTGTGGTACTTGAGATAAGAGAATCAGGGTAATGAATCACAGTGGCACTTGTCAGTGCCTCTGTAAAGTTCACCGGTAGCCAGGCGTGGTGGTGTGAACCTGTATCTTGGCAATGGGAGGACCGTGAGTTCTAGCCCAGCAGTTTAGCAGCTCGGCTAGGCCTGGTCTCACAGTGTAAATAAGCCGGGGATGGAGCTCAGTGTGAAGGTGCCGCAAAAACGAACAAAAGTGAAAGAGTAAAGTTTGTTTTATTTCTTTTGGGTGCTGGTGATGGAACCCAGGACC